TGAAAATCTACAGTTTGCGTTACATATACTGTAGATTTCATACCAACAGCTCGACGCTAAATGTTTCGCTTTTCGCAGTTGGTAGCAGTTTCATCCACCCGACATCTCAACGACGGAGAGGGCAGATTTTTAGAGAGAGACACTCGCCAACTGCACACACCATGTTATACTTGCACCATGGGCCTGATCTGGGGAATACGGTGGCTGCGGCATCATTAGTGTGTTGTTTTTGGCCAAAAATTCGCGCACAAGCAACGATGTGTGAGCAGAGGCGTTGAGCAATTTTGGTACGAATTTCGCGGCGACCCGTCTCATGTCCAAATCATTGGTAAAAATCGAATGGCACGAGCCAATCGATATGTTTAGTTCCTCAGCAACTTCTCTAACAGTGATTCGACGATTGGCCAATACTATTTTCTTCACTTCAATGTTTTCGTCTGTTGACGTGTTCGAGCGTCCGGCACGCTCTTCGTCGTTCACATCTTCTCGGCCCTCTGAGAACATTTTATACCACCGATAAACGTTGTTTCGATCCAAGGTAGCTTCACCATATGCCACAGTCAACATTCGGAATGTGTCCGCGCACTTAATTTTGTTTTTCACACAAAATTTGATACAGATTCTTTGATCCATTTTTTAGAATAGGCAAAAATCGAAGACGAGCTAAAACACGTGCAAGCAAAGCAGCTGTCAAAAATTAACTGAACATTCAAAATCGCCCAACTTGTCGGCATAAGTGAGAGACATGAGTACCAACATAACGCCACAAAAAATCGAAAATCGAATATACGTAACCCGCGGAAATTCAAAATTCGCGATACTTTTTGAACAGACCTCGTAAAAAATATGAACAAGACGTTGGTCAAGCACAGGGTTGCCAGGTGTGGCGGAATTCCGCCAAAGTGGCGCCTTGATGTAGTGAAATGGCGTACCAAAATTTAGATTTAGCGATTGGCGTAAAGGTGGCGAGTTGTAAAAATATATGGCGGAAAAGTGGCGTCTTTCAACGGCAGCCAATGTTCGTCTTTAGTTGGATGATACAGATAGAGCTCCGTTCGAAAACACCACCCGAGTGGTCCCATGTTTTTGGATGGTATTTTCCGAACGTAGCCCAGCCTACTCGGCGAGCGGTTGAATGTGATTGATTGGATCTATAAGAACATACATGCGAGTTATCAATCACGATATGCCATGGACCATAGTTGTAAGATTTAACATTTAAAGATTCTTACATAGTTGAGACTAGTATGACGCAATTGACAAATGACATTATTTCCTGCGAAGTGCGAGGGCCTCGTAAGTTCGTAACGGTGTCGTGCTGTATCGTGTTATCGTAGAGTCCCTCTAGTCAGAGTCGAGACATAAGCGAGCTCTCTCGCGATTGATCGGCCGCCATGTCCTGATCAACTGATGTGTTAGTGAATAAGTGAATACATGAACCAATTGATTTTAGTATGAGTACGAATCCGTAAACTCCGCGCGAAATGTCAAAACGGTAGGTAGGAAAAGCTTTTGATTTCTCTTGTGCTGTCATAAACATATATATATATATATA